AGGAAATACAAACTCGGGAAATACAAAGTTAGGAAATGCAAACTCAAGAAATTTAAACTCCGGAAATACAGGATTCTAAAATACAAACTCCGGAAATACAAACTGTGGAAAGAGAAACTCCGGAAATACAAACTCCGGAAATATAAACTCCGGAAGTACAACCCTCCGGAACTATCTATCTATCTATTGATTCTGAAGAATGCCTAGCATGAAACATAATGTCGATACAATAAAACTTCAAATCATGTTCTGAATACTTATTTTCTTATCTATTCTATCTATCTATCTATCTATCTATCTATCTATCTATATATATATATATATCTAGGAAGAGCTCTGAAAGACTGCATATAGTTGTGCTGCTAGCTGATGATCTAGACTGGACTGATCTATCTATCTATCTATATATCTAGGAAGAGCTCTGAAAGACAGCATATGATTGTGCTGGTAGCTGATGATCTATCTATCTATCTATCTATCTATCTATATATCTAGGAAGAGCTCTGAAAGACCGCATATAATTGTGCTACTAGCTGATGATCTAGGCTGGAATGATATATCTATCTATCTATATATATATATCTAGGAAGAGCTCTGAAAGACCGCATATAGTTGTGCTGCTAGCTGATGATCTAGACTGGACTGATCTATCTATCTATATATCTAGGAAGAGCTCTGAAAGACCGCATATAGTTGTGCTGCTAGCTGATGATCTAGACTGGACTGATCTATCTATCTATATATCTAGGAAGAGCTCTGAAAGACAGCATATGATTGTGCTGCTAGCTGATGATCTATCTATCTATCTATCTATCTATCTATATTTCTAGGAAGAGCTCTGAAAGACTGCATATAATTGTGCTGCTAGCTGATGAACTAGACTGGAATGATCTATCTATCTATCTATATATCTAGGAAGAGCTCTGAAAGACCGCATATAATTGTGCTGCTAGCTGATGATCTAGGCTGGAATGATGTTTCCTGGCATAATTCTAATATAAAGACACCAAGGATGGAGGTATAGCTTGAAACTACATCAACTGAATTATAACACGTCTTCAGAGGCCGAGTTTAAAGAATTTGAGACGCGGCTCAAACATGATTGGTTCCATTTGAAATTGTATTCAGTGTTTCGAGATTTGAGCCGGCGCTCAATTGGAACCAGTTTTTGGTGGTTCAGCAAATCGGTTCAAATTCTTTAAATTCGGCCTCAGAATCGATATATATATATTACTTTGATTTAAAGTACGGGGCTGGTTTTTGACTAGAAGTTTGCTCAGAATGTTGTACGACTTAAGAAGTCCTACGAGCATGCTAAATGTACTATCTATGTACTAGGAGTTAGCTAGGTAGGACTAAGATATATTACAAGAGAAGTCCTATGTGCATGCTAATTTACTATCTATCTACTAGGAGTTAGCTAGGTAGGACTAGGATATAAGAGAAGTCCTATGTGCATGCTAATTTACTATCTATGTACTAGGAGTTAGCTATGTAGTATGTAGGACTAGGATATAAGAGAAGTCCTATGTGCATGCTAATTTACTACCTATGTACTAGGAGTTAGCTATGTAGGATGTAGGACTTCAGAGTTTCTATGTACATGCCAATTTACTGTGTTTGTACTAGGAGTTAGCTAGGTACGGTGTACGACTACAGAAGTCCTATGCACATGCTAAATGTGCTGTTTATGTACTATAAACTAGCTAAAAACGGTGTACGACTAGAGAAGTCCTATGTACATATTAAATGTACTGTTTGTGTACTATGAACTAGCTAGGGACGGTGTACTACTACAGAAGTCTTATGTACACGCTAAATGTACTGTGTATGTACTAGGAGTTAGCTAGGGACTATGTACAACTTGAGAAGTCCTTTGTACATGCTAAATGTACTGTTTATGTACTATAGAATTAGCTAGGGATGGTGTACGACTAGAAAAGTCCTATGTACATGCTAAATGTACTGTTTATGAACTAGGAGTTAGCTAGGGACGGTGTACGACTAGAGAAGTCCTATGTACACGCTAAATGTTCACCATCTAGAGCTGCATTGATGACAGGTCGTTATGCTTGGAGGTAATTCAAACTTTTATTCAAACCAATTTTTTTATTCGAAAATGTTGAAATTGTGACTTATCATACCCCTATAACAATCTACAATTATTAGTAATTATAATTTAGTCTAAAAATGTTTTGAATCATTTAATTTTCTGGAGGGCTACTTTTTTTTTAGAAAATATGTATAGTCTATAATAGGGATAATTGAAAATAACTAGTGCATTTATATATGTTCTTTTTTTTGCTTTTTGTATACCGTTGTTTTATTGTATAACGAGATGGAACCAATTACACCAATTATGTTTTATGCATAACTTCCTTAAAATCTCATTGCAATGCCTGCCTACTGTACTGTTAATATATTTAATTAAAATTAATTATTTTCTTGTGATTTTTAACAAAAAATTTTTTTTTTTTTTTTACTGATTTTGATGGTTATTTTATCGTTAGAACTGACAAGGGTCAACCCAGACCGAAATATATTTTCAAAAAAATGTGGAACTAGCATCTACTTTTTACTCTACAGAGATTTGGTATACCACCATCACCGAATTTTAAATTAAAAGATGTTTTGTAGATTGGGAAGGCAGCGTAGTGGTCTTGGAAAATAGCAACCAACTGGTCTAAATACCAACATCAAGGAATCAAATAAAAATAAAAGATGACTAGTCTTAAACTCTATTTTTTCTAATTTATATATCTTTACAACCTGATGGTGTTACCTTTGATATATCGAACTGGGGTATTAGATTGCATATAAGGACTAGGCTTTTCGATTTTAATTTAATTGTTGCTCTATTTGCGGCATGTTCTCTTCTTAGAATATGAAATAATCAAAAAATGTAATCGCGGATTTATCAATTTTTTGTGGATTTAAAAAAATCGAAATTTGTTAAGGCAGTTTTTTTAATTCTGACCATCTATTATCTTCCCATGGTCATGTATGGTCCCCCAAAAATTTGGGAAGAATTGGTTTGCGATTTTGATGTTTCTTAGATACAAAACAACGCAAAGTATATATTTAGTTTAGAAAGTTTGAGTTTGAAGCGAGTTTCTAATGGCGGTCCTCTCATGATAGCACAAACAAATATTATTTTATGTATACTGTAATATTTGCACATATTTTTTTGATCTCTTATCAGATTTTACCTGAATATTTACAAGATGGAGGTTATTCAACACATATGGTAAAATTTTAATTTTATACTAAATTTTATGTAGTCTGACAATATATGTGTTGATATAGGGTTACCCACAAAGCATGAGGCTTTAGAGACGACTGTACGGAATTTAATGAGAACTTTACTCAAATTCCTGATGTCTTCCAGCTGCAAGTTTGTTTATAAATTTGCCGGATTCAGAGTCACCCAAAAAGTTGAGACTGTAAACATGAAAACCCCAAGGTTTATCTAAGTCTTCTGTCTTGATTCTAATTTTTTAATGGCTTCATAAATGAATTGAGAAATTACAAGAAACAAGTTTACAGTTAGGAATCATGAATATAAGAAAATAGACAGTATTGATTCCGTACAGTCGTCTCTGAACTATCATCCTGTGTAGGTAACCCAGTAACTATTAAAAACTTATTTAAAAAAATAAAAGTCCTAATTCAACCTTCAAATCTCCACTTAGGTCTCAGACTTTAAAAGTGAATTTCATTTATTCTAAATTAAATATTTATTCAAGTTTTGTACATTTCGTGAATACAGTTGTGTTTATTAATTTTTAAATTAGATGTATTCTTAAATAATCATTTTTAAGAGCATTCAATAATCGTATGAATCGGTGTCATTTTATTCCTTTATATATATTAGTACCGATTTGTATTTTGTATGCCATCAATGACTGCAACTAAAAAGATGTCTTTTGAAGAAAAAATCTATGAATTTCCTTTGTTAACCCAATATGGTTTTTTGCGATAACTCAAAAAGTATCTTAGCTAGGAAGCTCTAATTTTCTGCCTTTTATGATTAACCCAGGCCCCTCACTTGAGGCTAAAATCTGGGATTGCTCACTGCCTATTCTATCTGCCTTATTTTACCTATAACAGAATAAATCTATATTTAGACCTACTTCTAGTCATTGGATTTCAACATTTTATAGCTCTTTGGAAAGCCTATAACAAAAGCAAGCAGATTGCACAATTTTTGCAGAGAAATTTTGCACAGATATTTGCACAGACGCCTTAAAAGGGAATTTGCACATTTTCAGATTTTCTTGAATACACATTTAGGTTTTAAAAATTTTGCAAATGTGTTACCTATTTGAATTCGCTGGGTCAAGGGCTTTTTAGAAATTTATAATTTGTTGCAATTTTTTGTACATTATTTGCTCAATAACTAGATTTCGCAATAAATATTTGGATTTTGGAAATTTGCCATTTTTTGCATATTATTGAAGTAAAGCCTAAGGGCTTTCCGCAAACGTATAATAATAATAATTTGAAATTAGTTTGTCATAAAATATTTGAATTTACCGATTTTAAAACCTTATTTTCTTAAAGTTTGCTTTTATCAAACTTTTCAATATCTTTATTCTAAAAGATTTTGCATCGTTTTTGGATCGTTTTGCATAGTTTTTTGATCATTTTGCATCGTTTTTGCATCGCTTTTGGGTCGTTTTTTTTGCATATATCTTCTACCAGGGTCAAAATTTGACATAGTTTCAGGAAAGCAAAAGTTCAGAATAAAAATTTACTAACATTTTGCCAAGTTTTGACCCTGAGAGAAAATAAAGGCAAAACCCGGTCCAAACACTAAGCACATGACTACGTACTACAGGTTGGTAAATGGCACCTTGGATACTGTAACAGTTCGTTTCTACCAACTAGTAGAGGATTCAACACTTTCTTCGGACAGTATACTCATATTACAGATTATTATACAAGGTATCAATTTATAATCTTTATACTCAACATTTTTCCATTAAAGGGACTGTAAGCATATTACAGATTATTATACAAGGTATCAATTTATAATCTTTATACTCAACATTTTTCCATTATAGGGACTGTAAGCGTAATTTCAAGATACAAAGATATTAAAGGGACTGTAGGCGTAATTTCAAGATACAAAGATATTAAAGGGACTGTACGCATAATTTCAAGATTCAAAGATTTACAATAGTACCCTTAAAACCTATATCTAATTAATTGCTATGCTTTGAAGTGTTTAATTCTGAGCAATTCTTATATATTAGTAAATAATAAGTAAGTGACCTTCCATGCAAAGATTTACAATGATACACTAACAACTTTTGTTATGATCAATTTCTATGTTAAAGGGAGTGTTCGCGAAAAATTAAAGGGGGTATATAGGCGTAATGTTTTTTTTTAAATAATTTTCGCTGGGGCTGGATTTTCGAACATTCCTGGAAAATATGAAACTGTCGTCTTCATTATCAAAAATCCTCGTAACAGGAATAAATGTTTTCAAATTTTCAGATCATGAAAATTACAAAATATTATGAAATATCAACTATTTACGAATGCATCGAAAAATAATCGATGACTATTGTTTGAAATACCTGAATGATTTGTTTGGAATTAAATTGATTTGTTTACGATCCGAGTTGAATGTTGCATCTTTCTGACTTTGTATGAACGCTGCGTTCTTCGGTATACGTCGTTTTTAAAAATTTTCTCTTATAGACGAAACAAATAGCAGTAAGATTAGTAGCGATCAAAAGCGCTTTTTTATCGCATTGAGCCTATACCCCCTTTCATTTTTCGCGAACACTCCCTTTAAAAAGTGATTATTTATGATAAATCTTTTATGTTTTCGTCCAGTAGAAATGCACACATGTTGCTTTCGTAGAGAATCTACAATTTAAATAAATTAGTTTTCAAAATTATGAAAATATCTAATTCATACTTAATCAGACAAAACTTTTAAGAGTATCTCTGTAAATCAGACAATACCATCTTTGCATAAAGTGTCAATTGAAATTACACTTTCATCATTTTAAGGTGTAAAAGGAGGAAAATATTGGCAAATGGAAATTTAAGATTCATGAAATGAATTAAGACCACCAAAGTATTTCTAAGAAAAAAAATCCAGAATAAGAAAAAAAAACTATTTCCCGGTAAAGTGTCTTATCTTTATGACACACTTCATGAATGATCACTTTCATTAAAAATAAAAGAAAAAGAACTTTAAATACTCTTTTAAGTAGGTTTACATTTATCAATCAGTAGATAAAAATTAAGTCATTTTTTATTAAGTCATAAAGATCGTTTCTTACCTTTCATAAGATTTCTTATATTGTCTTAGTATAGCAAATTTACGTCCCACGATAAACAATAAAAAGGCAATATTGGGAAAAACAGAATTTGGACAAAATTGGAAAGAGTATCTAATTCACACAAGTTAACTAGTTTCTGATAAGTTACACGTTTCTAAGCAAAATCTATTTAAAAGAAAATTTTCAATTGTTTCTCTTTTCATTGAATGAATCGAAATGTGTGTAAGTTTACCATAACCTGTTAATTGTATTATAAATAATTAATTCTTTCACAACTTTATAAATTAAATGTTTTTAATGGTTTAATGAATATTTTATTATTTTCTAATTTGACCCTGAACATTTAATCCATATATTCTAATTCAATTCATAAATACTTAATCAAGTGTAATAAGATAATCAAGGTTTGATCACGCAATCTTGTTACTTGAATTTTTTTTCGAGAATATCAACATGAGAGGGTTATTCAGAAAAAAATATAGATTTTTTGTATTCCATCAGAAATTGTATGCATTACTCTTGAGAAAATTAAGACGATGTTTGAACATTAATTTTTTTGCATTGTTTCATAAAAATTTTAATTTGTATATTTAAAAAACTGAAAAAGCAACACTTTATTTTTACTCATCCTGTATATCTTTGCAACCTGATGGTTTAAACCTTTCTATTCAAATCAGATTATTTAATATGAAGTAGAAAGGTTCATGAAATTAGGTTGCATATTTTAATGTAAGAGTTTGAAGTGAGTAATCAGTTTATCGGTGAATAAAAAACTAAATACAAAATCTGTTTCATGGCTAAACCAGAATTGGATCTGAAGAATTGCAAAAAAATCGTCTATTTTTAAATTTAGGAAAGTTCCCAACAAGGACAATGATGAAGACAAGATTGGATTTGATCTCCGAGACAATGAAAAGGTTTTTACATTTTTTATCAACATTTTTTATTAACTCAAGTCCTAGATTAAGTTTTTATCGTTTGTCGTCCAAGGGATTAAATTAATTCCTCTCGTCCAAACCACGTCATCCAGACTTAACAAACACGTCCACGAGTATTATTTAGAAGACGATATTTCTCTTTATGAAAGGCATGTGTTATGACAAATAAACCACTGTGAGTTGAACTACCGATTTTATGAACAATTAATTATTTAAACATTTCTGGTTTAGCTTTTTAACTAAACATTGGTAAAAGAGAAGATTTGCAGTAAACACATGGTGCTCATTTGAATTAAATACATAAAAAGAAAAAAAATACATCAGAAAAAAAAGTAACGAACTTCGAAACTAAAACGATGGATGTTTAAAATAAACAATTTGTTTAAATATTCGATATTTCATTGGATCATCAGTAGTTCAAGTGACAGTTATCCAAATTTACATCTCAAATGTTTCAAATGTCGTCTTATTTCCGTCATTCGCTTAGCCTGGTGTGTGTAGAGTAGGTGGGCTACTTGATGGATTTCTAAAATTAAAGTTGCAACATCGGATACCGAGATCAAGTGTCGTGGATTAGCACTATTTAATGCAAAAGTATTGACCCTGGAACATATTTACCGAAAATGTCTAATTTGTTAAATGATAAATATTATATATGGGAATTTATACTTGCAGGCGACTATGGAAGGAAATGGAGAATTCACAGACGAATTGTACACAAGGTTAAGTGACGACATTTTATTTGTTTTTAATCTGATTGATACAGGGGAAGAAAGTTGTCCCAGATCTGATATACAGGGGAAGAAAGTTGTCCCAGATCTGATATACAGGGGAAGAAAGTTGTCCCAGATCTGATATACAGGGGAAGAAAGTTTGCCCAGATCTGACACTGAGTGTCTGATTTGGAACATAAGCAAGGCTTGGAACTTGTGTCCCTTGCAAAAGAACACCATTGCTTCTCTCATACTGGTATTTCAATAATGTGGTCTGTTCCTCCGAAATTGACTGAGATAATTTTTAATTAATTTTTTTGTCAAATGCAAGTTACAACAACCGTTAGGCCTTAAAAAAATTTCAAAGCAGTATTTATAGTTTCAGTTGGAAATTCATAATCAAAGAAAAAAAGTTCTTTAGTTTTCTAGCTGGTTCTCACTGTAAAATACAACAAATTATTTATTTAGGAAAGCTGTTGAAATAATTGAAGCTCATGATGATTCAACTCCTTTGTTCCTTTATGTGGCTTTCCAGGCATAATATCTTCTTTTAAACCTTTTGATTAATCTAAGCTCATTAAACGAACTCACGTAATTTTTAATTTTAAAAAGGGGCAAGCCCAATTCACAACGGTACCCGGAAAGCCTTAACTTAGAGACTATCGTAACAGATATCTGCAAGTCATTTTCCACGAGAAACCACTTGAAAATAATCAAATTTTAAATTGTATTCACGTGAATCGGACATGCCGTTCAATATATCTCTGGAATTTACGTTCACAGTCCCTTTATGTTTAAAAGTGAATTTCTATACTCCTAGGCTCCACACGGTCCTATTCCAACTCCTCCCAAAAAATACAGGTATTTATTTATAAGTTATAGAACTAGAAGCTTTTGTGTACAAAGGAATTAAGTTTTTGTCACAAACTCTGATTTTCTTATCCCTATATCTTTGCATTTCAATTTCAGAGACCTTAGATATTTCAAACTATGAATTAGTTTAGATCAAATAATAATAGTATGCTATATCAAAGGTTAACACCATCAGGTTACAAAGATATAGCGATTTTAAAATCAGAATTTGGGGCTAAAACTCAATTCCTTTATCTTTGACGGATTGTTATTTATGATTGCTAAAAAATTTTCAGAAAAAAAACCTGGAAATAAAAACTGGGACAAAATGTTAATGGACATGAAGTTTTCAAGTTTTAGATTCCAGGGATTTTTTTCCAAAGATACTGGAACCAGAAAAAAAGTCCTAAAGAAGTCTCAAATGGTAGGACTTTTTTCCAGAGACTTTTTATTACAAGGACTTTTATCCAAAAAAAACTTTTTAGCGCCAAAATTTAGGACTTTATTGCCGAAAACTTTTGTTCAGGGAACTTTTTTGGCGGTTACCGCTAAGAACTGGTTTAATAAAAACAATAACAAACATTTTTAACAGAGACATGACAGAAAAGCCTAATCGGGGAACCCTAAACTAAGCTTTCAGCGCGTACTGCAGTAATCTGGTAATCTGCAGCACACTGACCAAAAAAATTGCGGGTTTTAGTGAAGAGTGGGGGGTCCCGGCTAAAAACCAGTGAGCCTCAACTTTGGATTCCATTTTAATCCTTGAAATGAAAATTTTATCTACTCGCTATTTTATACTATTTGTTAGACTATGTGTTTTTAAGGTTTTAGTAAAAAAGGTCGTTTGCGCTACTTTTAGTGGTGTTAAAACAAACATTGAAATATTGCTGAAAATATGTGGAAACAGACAGGCATGTCGTTTGTTGTAGTTAGTTTAAAGTTCCTCAGTGTTTTATATTCATTGGAGTATTTTAATTCTCAAATTTAGTCTAACAGACGTCTCAGCTTTCTAGTTCATGCAGTTAATTATGGTAGGGATTCCAACGCAAAGTAGGTTTTACTTGCGCGTAACTACTAGCCCTGTAATTCTGCACAATTCCGGGTAATTCGAGAACAATTCCTCGCAAAGCCCTAATTTTGGGTCAACTTTTAATTTTAAAATTCGGTGATGAACCAATACCAAACCTCTGTAGAGTAAAAAAGTAGATGGTAGTTCCACATATATTGAAAATATATTTCAGTCTGGGCTGACCCTCGTACATGTCTGACAATAAAATAACCATCAAAATGGTTAAAAAATTGTTTACCACCACAAGAAAATAAACAAACAAAAAAGATTGTTTAAAAAAAATTGGGCTGTCAAATGGACACAAGGGGAAAGAACTCAGATCATGAGATGAAAAAAAGATAATTTGCAAATAATCAGTTTTTAAAAAATGTTTTAAGACAATTATTATTCCTTGAGATTGTTTCTGTCACAAAGATTAAAAACAAGTTGTTTAGATGTATGTGTATAAAGTGGCGGTAGGGTCGATCAAATTAACGAAATTTTACTTAAATCGGGGGGAGGGCTTGTTTAAAGAGGGGTATTTAAACCTTTTAAAGAATTGGACATAAATAATACTCTTTTTTTAAATAATTTTGTTTTTAGAAATGTGTATAAGAACAAGTACAATTAGCTTGGAGCTAGACTATCTCAAAACATGGCCTCTACAATAACAGTAGGCTTTAGTTAGATTCAGTTAAATTCATCCAGTAGTTTAACTACAGTCATCGTCGTTAATATCAATACAATAAAGACGACTTTCGATTTTGATTTTGATTTTATTCAAGCACCATGGGTTCACATAAACATGGAAATATACAAAAAACGGTCAATTATCATTATCTCTTTGTTTACTTGTAAACATGTTATTTGTAAAAGCTTGCTATAAATCCAAAATTTAAGAGAAAAGACGTCCTTATTGTATTGATAAAAATGTCGACCACTTAACGTCATTTATTTATTCGATAACCTCTGAGTTCTGAACTTTTATATAAGAAAGTGATTAATTCCTTAACAATTAAATACAACTGAAAGTTTGTTGGACAAGACTTAGTAAAATCCTAGAACTTTTGTTTTCAAATCTTTAACGATTTTATCTGGCTTAGAATGAATTTACAAAGTTACAGTTGAGACAAAACTGAGATGTCGTCTTCGATCTTTGAAGTTATTTGTGGCATTTAACTGTCTGCCTATTTCTAAAAAAGTTTCGAATTCGTGAAACTAAAATAAATATTTTAATAGTCCAACGAACTCGAGTTAAAGCATTTCATCAAGCAAGTTCATTTTTAAGATGCTTGTAAAACTTTTTGATTTATAACAATTGCAATATCAAATACACTTAAGGATTTCTTTGGTGATGTTTTTCAATTCCACATTTTTATGAGGATTACTTATTCCAACTTATTTGTTCAGGCACTGGATTATGCAGTTGGGGATATTTATGATGCATTGAAGAAATCAGGTTTATACCAAAATTCAGGGAAATATTTTCATACAAAATATTAATATTATTTTTCAAGAAATATTTTCATAGAAATTATTAATATTATTTTCAAGACAATTGAAAAAGAACACAGACACAACAATCTTTATTTTAAACTTTGAATTAAATTTAGATACATAACGATAATGATTTAGATGATGAAAAAAATCTAAATATTCTTTACTTTTTGGCATTTAACTTTTAATGTAAAATTAATAAGAAACCTGTAAACTCTTTGATAAAAAGAAAATTGTATCATATTTTCTATTCATGAAAAGAAAATTGTATCATATTTTCTATTCATGAAAAGAAAATTGTATCATATTATCTATTCATGAAAAGAAAATTGTATCATATTATCTATTCATGAAAAGAAAATTGTATCGTATTATCTATTCATGAAATGAAAATTGTATCATATTATCTATTTATGAAATGAAAAACTCTTGTTTATTTCATTTTGTGTTTTTCAATTCAGAACTTTTTAATTAAAATATTTTCATCTGAAATTCAACAATGAAAATTTTCATAAAATTCTAAATATCAATAATTTTCAATGAAACAGTATTTGTTAAAAATTATTAAATCATTAAACGTTAATCATATAAAAATTAGCTTGGGAACCCAGTATTGCCTGACAATCAAAACTTTCCTTACTCGACTTCGAATTTTTAAACCAAGCTAAAAACATTCCCGTGGTTTTACCAAGTTTCCCAATCTAATTTTAAGATATATCGGGGTTTTAAAGTTATTAATAAGACAAACAAACAAAAAGCAGAAAAACAGATATATTTTATATATTTATATATAAAACCAAGCTTTGCTTAGAAACAAAGTTTTTTAGTAAGAGTCAAACTATTAAACTAAGAACTTTTAAACCAAGCTAAAAACATTCCAGTGGTAAGTTCTCCCCAATCAAAGTTTTAGGTAAATCGGTCATGGTTTGGACATACAAAAACCCACAGATACAGAGATTACTATTTCAGATATATGTAGTATCAGATACAGAGATTACTATACTTTAGATCTAAGTAGGATCAGATACAGATATTACTATACTTTAGACATATGAAGGATCAGATACAGAGATTACTATACTTTAGATCTAAGTAGTATCAGATACAGAGATTACTACTTCAGATATATGTTGGATCAGATACAGAGATTACTATACTTCAGATATATGTAGGTACAGAGATTACTATACTTCATATATATGAAGGATCAGATACAGAGATTACTATACTTCAGATATATGTTGGATCAGATACAGGGATTACTTTACTTCAGATATATGTAGGATCAGATACAGAGATTACTACTTCAGATATATGTAGGATCAGATACAGAGATTACTATTTCAGATATATGTAGGATCAGATACAAAGATTACTACTTCAGATATATGTATAGGATCAGATACAGAGATTACTACTTCAGATATATGTTGGATCAGATACAGAGATTACTATACTTCATATATATGAAGGATCAGATACAGAGATTACTACTTCAGATATATGTAGGATCAGATACAGAGATTACTATTTCAGATATATGTTGGATCAGATACAGAGATTACTATACTTCATATATATGTAGGATCAGATACAGAGATTACTACTTCAGATATATGTAGGATCAGATACAGAGATTACTACTTCAGAAATATGTAGGATCTTAAATACACTGAATCGTTACAAAAATGAAAACAAAGGGACTGAGTCTTTGCCACAAACTCAAATACTTTAATCCCTCAACCTGATGGTTTAAACCTTTGATATTGCAAACTTAGATTATTTGCTCGACAGAATTCAGAAGGTCCACGACATTGGGTTGCAAAAATATAGGGATTAGAAAATAAGAGTGTGTGGCAGAGACTAAATTAAGCTGAAACTTACTGAAAATATTGCGCAGTGATAATTTTTAGCACCGATAACGGAGGTGCAGTTCAAGCAAGCTCAAATCTTCCACTCAAAGGTTAAAAACTAATTCAATAAATAAAAAGTAAATAAAATAAAAAATAAAACGTTATTTTTAATGTAGTCAACACTTTTTAGAGTTATTCCAATTATCTTGCAATAAATATAGCTCTTCCTCATTATGAAATCAAAAGCAAATTGAACAGCGGAACGACGACGGCAGCCATTTTTTATATATTTTAGGAAACAAGGAGGAGTTGTATGAGGGAGGGGTGAGAGGTGTTGGATTTGTTAACAGTCCCTTACTAGACAACAACCACGGCAAACATGACAAGTAACAGTCCCTTACTAGACAACAACCACGGCAAACATGACAAGTAACAGTCCCTTACGAGACAACAACCACGGCAAACATGACAAGTAACAATGCCTTACTAGGTAACAACCAAGGCAAACATGACAAGTAACAGTCCCTTACAGAAACAGTACAACAAAATGGCCGTTTTACACTTTTTTCTAGTAAATTCCCCTATAATATATATTCTATTCTCTATGCCCTTACTAGACAACAGCCACGGAAAACATGACAAGCAACAGAGTACCTTACTAGGTAACAGCCACGGCAAACATAACAAGTAACAGTCCCATAGAAAAATTGTTAATCGTTTTTTGTTTCGTTTTTCAATCGTTTTCAAAAAAGATCGTTTCGTTTTCGGAAAAAAACGATTAAAAAAAAAAAATAAAGTTTCTGACAAATTTATTTTTTTGACAACTATGTTAATGATGGTTAACGAAAGGTTGTTGTTAACGATCGTTAACGAAACGACTTTCAGAAAACAATTTGCAACAAATTTTTATATGATTGTTTTTTAAAAAACGATCGCTTTTAAAAAAAGAAAGTTTCTGACAAAACTTTTTTTTGACAATAATGTTAATGATCGTTAGCGAAAGGTTGTCGTTAACGATCGTTATCGACTTTATAAAAAACTTTATAAACTTTTTAAAAAACGACCGTTTTCGGAAGAACGGTCGTTTTCTAAAGAAAAAAATACATGCAACTTTGTTGAATGTTGTCTTTCATGAAGTTAAAAATTGAAGTTTTCCTCTCTTAAATAACGATCGTTAACGAAGGGTCTTCGTTAACTATTGTTAAAGAAGGGTCGTCGTTAACGATCGTTAACGAAGGTTCGTCGTTAACAATCGTTAACGAAGGGTCGACGATACGATCGTTAATGAAACGACGAGTTTTATAAAAACGATCGTTTTGAAAAACGAACGTTTTAAAAAGACCATTTTTAAAAAACTATCGTTTTCATAAACGATCGTTTCGTTTTCGATTTTTCGTAGTCGTTTTCATAACGAAACGATAGTTTTTCAAAAAAAATGAAAACGTTAACATCCCTAGTTCTAATCCCTTTATCTTTGCAACGCAATCTCGTAGCCTTAGATATTCAAACTCTGAAATTTGACGTTTGACTATTTGTGTTTCAGGTTGATGTTTATCACAGATTGGTTTGCAACTATTCTTAGCCTAGCCGGTCAATCTCATCTGGTAGGAATCTAAAATGAATATATAATTATGAATATAAGATATATATATGATAAATATACAATGATGAATGTAAAATGAATATATAATTATGAATATAAAATGAATATATAATTATGAATATAAGATAAAGATATGATGAATATATAATGATGAACATAAGATGAATGTAAGATAAATATGATATGAATGTAGCATGAATATATCATGAATATAACATGAACATAACATGAATATAGCATTAATATAACATGAAAATAACATCTTATATCCAAATAACTAGATAAATAGAACTTTTGTCCTTCGATAATCAGGACTAAATCAATTCGAATATTATAAACAGGAATTTTTTAGGAAGTGATTAAGCAGTCAATAAGCAGAAAGCACAAAAGGCTTAAATTCATCTTATATTAAGCCTATATTCATCTTAAATTCATCTTGTATTCATCTTATATTCATCTTATATTCATCTTGTATTCATCTTGTATTCATCTTATATTCATCTTATATTCATTTTATATTCATCTTATATTCATCTTATATTCAGCTTATAATCATCGTATATTCGGCTTATACTCATTATATATCTATTTTTTTAAAGATTCCTGAAGATACAGATTCCTACAACATGTGGCCATCTTTAGTCACAGGGCAAGTAGAGTCACCCAGGACACAGATCATTCTCAACATTGATCAGGTGCGGGTATTGTAGGCATGAAAAAACTCATTTTTTACAGAAAAAAAACTTTATAATTTGGTTTTATTTTATTCAAAAAACAATAATTGCTTTAAAGAATGGTATGCAGCTGTATTAGATGATGATTGTTTAGAATAACAGCTTGTAACAGTGGTCTGCAGCTGTAATAGATGATAATGTTTAGAATACCAGCTTGGAACAGTGTTCTGCAGTTGTTGTATATGATAATGTTTAGAATAACAGCTTGTAACAGTGGTCTGCAGCTGTAATAGATGATAATGTTTAGAATAACAGCTTGGAACAGTGGTCTGCAGCTGTAATAGATGAAAATGGTTAGAATAACAGCTTGGAACAGTGGTCTGCAGCTGTAATAGATGATAATGTTTAGAATAACAGCTTGGAACAGTGGTCTGCAGCTGTAATAGATGACAGCTGGAAATTTATCTGGGGACAGTCCTATCTCCTTCGGCAACAGGTGGATAAAAAATATAATTGAAAAAAGAATAGTTGTTTTGTTACAGTAAATCATGAGTGCATAAAACCTAATTGATGCTAAACAAATGTTAGCTAATTTATTTCATTACGTTTTCTTCAATTAAAGAGACTGATGTAGACCAAATTTTCTTTTTGAAAAGAGTGGCATATTCGATTCACAAAAGAACTTCTTTTTCTGATCAGGAATGGATTTGATAGTCAATTTTTTCTCAATGCATGAATTTATCATTTTTAATTGTGGTATTCTGCTTTAAAGCACTGGAAGAAATTTTCAGAATTAATCATGTTTTAAGCTAAAAAAATATGATATCTTTTCCATTATTGATCAGATAAAGGTTTAAAGGTTGTTAATTGTGAATTGAAATTACAAAACAATCCTGCTAGTTGATTTAATGAATATAATTACGCAGCTGTTTCCACGCTACTGCAGAAGTTGGAACACGAGCGCGGCAATTCTTGAGAATATTAACGATTGCAACGTGGAGCTCTACAATCTACAGGAGGATCCAGAGGAGCAAAATAATTTGGTAGATTTATATCTCACTTATAACTTTATAACTAGGATCTTCAACACAAGTAATTCCGGCCATTAATTCCGCGCAATGCGAGTTTTAGTTTTTATATCTTTGTTAAGAATTGTTTTGCTTAAGTTGATAAAGAAAATTCACCACGAACACAATTTTGCTAAGATAAATTCTTTGAAAAGTAATATAAAAGGCCTAAAATATCTAAACAGAATTAAAGCCAAATAGATTACCAAGTAGTACAATAGGTGGCAACAGAAAAATGGACCAATTATACACGCCGTCACAAGTGTCAAATATAACAAGGAAAACAAAATTTTCTTACATTAGTTGACATGCTTTCCAAGATTAAATAATAAAAATGTAAAAACTGGAAATAAAGAACTTATAAAATTTATTTTACTGTAAGATAAGCACTTTATTCTAAAACTATCACTATTTTAATAATTTTGTCGGACACAAAAACTAAGTTGACACTTGTGACGTAAGAATACAGTTGTACTGAGAGTGTGAGAGTGCACAAATGCTACGATGACTAGAATCTATTTGATGTAAGCATAATTTCAAGTATCGTTTATCTAGAGATGTACAATTTACAACTGTACGCTCAAAACCTTTATCTGATCAATAATTTGGAAGATATTGCCATTTTCCTAGCTTATTGTTTAGTTCTTATAATTCCTACATCTTTTCAGCAGTGGAAATGTGCAAGTCACTTTTATTGTAGCTAAACCAAGATCAAAAATAATCAGTTTTATCAATTCTGAACCTTGATGTATTATTCATGCTTTATCAGACAAAGCTTAAAGGGTCTGCGTTCACTTTGATCTTGCCCTTGTTGCATAAACTGGGTCTACTTTACACTGGGTAAACCAGACCGGAAAGTACTAGTGAAAGCAATGCTGTGTATTGAGAATCAGACATTGCCATCTTGCATTGAGGGACACTTCAAATTATGCTTACAGTCCCTTTGAATAAAAATAAATATCTATATTTATTAAGGCTGCTGGAGGGCGGCGGAAAGAAAGGGTCAACTCTATGAAAGAAATTATTATAAAACAATTGGATAGATTTGTAGCTGCCGACGAACCCGAGGAAACCCAAAACATTTCAAGATAAAAATTATAAAAATTTACCTAAAATGGTGGTTACATGTTTATACAGTGGGATACATAAAACTGCGAAATGGTAAAATTAGTGTTAGACCAAAATTAAGAAATTAGATAATCCAATTTTCATAAAACTCATAAATTGTGCAGTGTACACAGAGCCAGTTTACTTAATAAGTTGATCAAGCAACATCAAATGCGCATAAGATTGATTAATTAAATGTCGTCTTCCTATTCCACACTTTTTTAGTCTCACTTAGAGGATGTATTTGTTCTTTCAATTAATTGATGTTGCAGAATCTTTGATGCTTTTTTGTTGGGCAACAATTTTTCTTATATTTTCAATACAAAGTCATTAAAATTAACTTATAGTTTTGGTTTTAATTTAGGATAATCCAGCTGGTTTTCCGGTCAACTTTGGTGGATTTATATCAACGGGATGGTGCAACATTTAGTAATGTTTCACAAGAGAAGGCATAGTGCAATATAATTGACAAATTTATAAGAATCTACTTACCATTTTTGAATACTGTAATTATTATTTTTTATAAAATCTTGATGCTTTCAAATTATCTATATATAAAAGCTCTTCGAATTTTTTCTTTCAAAATTCCCAAAAAAATATCACGAGCAACGCCGGGAACTTCAGCTAGTAATAAATAATCTTAGATATTTCAAATGTTTCTTGTTGCTTGATTCTTGTCGTTGCAGGATATTTGATGGCGGATTATACTAGACATTTTAGGGTTGAAAATATTAGATATTTGAGGGTTGATAATATCAGATATTTGAGGGTGGATAATAATAGATATTTGAGGGTGGATAACACTAAATATTTGAGGGTGGATAATATTAGATATTTGAGGGTGGATTATAATAGATATTTGAGGGTGGATAACACTAGATATTTGAGGGTGGATAATATTAGATATTTGAGGGTGGATAATAATAGATATTTGAGGGTGGATAATACTAGATATTTGAGGGTGGATAATATTAGATATTTGAGGGTGGATAACACTAGACATTTGAGTGTGGATAATATTAGATATTTGAGGGTGGATAACACTAGATATTTGAGGGTGGATAATATTAGATATTTGAGGGTGGATAACACTAGATATTTGAGGGTGGATAATATTACATATTTGAGGGTGGATAATAATAGATATTTGAGGGTGGATAATATTAGATATTTGAGGGTGGATAATATTAGATATTTGAGTGTGGATAACACTAGATATTTGAGTGTGGATAACACTAGATACAGGGTGTCCCACGAAACATGAAAGTTGGTGAATAGTTTAAAATGTTTTCTTCCATAATTAGTTTAGTTGTTTGATTCTGAAGAGAATGATATCGCAATCATATTGTAGTAAATTGTAAAATTGATTTAAAACTAAAATAACTTTGAGGAAAAGATGTTTTTCAACGCAATAAACTGCAAAAAGTCTTTAATATCCATTACGACATATGGAAGAATACTATTCACCAACTGTCATGTTTCGTGGGACACCCTGTATTTAAGGGTGGATAATACTAGATATTTGGGGGTGGATAGTTCTAGATATTTAAGGGTGGATAATACTAGATATTTAAGGGTGGATAATACTAGTTATTTAAGGGTGGATAATACTAGACATTTAAGGGTGGATAATAATAGATATTTGAGGTTGGATAATACTAGACATTTGAGGGTGGATAATACTAAATATTTAAGGGTGGATGATAATAATCATCTAGGGGGGGAATATAATAAAAAAGCTGACATTGTATTTTGTGGGTTTAAATATAGTTTTAATCTCCTGTTCAACGAAATAACCAACCTTAAATTCCCTCTTTTTTTATTTCCAGGGAGGATAATTACTTATCCTCCCTATTTACAGGGAGGATAATTACTTATCCTCCCTCTTTACAGGGAGGATAATTACTTATCCTCCCTATTTACAGGGAGGATAATTACTTATCCTCCCTCTTTACAGGGAGGATAAGTAATTATCCTCCCTGTGATCCATACAGATTTACTTGGAGGCCCTCGGCTAAGTGGTTTTCCCCTCAATTTAATTATCCTCCCTTAATCTCCCGGTTAAGTAGTAATTAATAGTTATAACATTAATGAAATTAAAGTTTTCATGTTTAGAAAAATAACAAGTGTTACTCCGAAAATGAATTAGATAAGAACCGAAGAGTGATTACAGACTTACAGCCAGACAAAATATATTTACTTCATTTATCTAACCCAGAACTTCGAAGACCTGACAAGAATTTAAAAAATGTCGTAATCTAAACCTATTGATAATGGAATGCCGTAGATATTTAGTTTTTAATTGATTACCCAGGTAACAGAAATGAGATGAAATACCCGTTAAAAACTAGTTTAGGAATAGTCCACTTTAAGGAAGAATTAAAGTCGGATAAAAGTCGACTTTTGATAAGAAGTCCACAAACTTGGAATAAAAAAGTCGTGAAAAGTCGATCTGTTCATCCAAGTTTTGAACTAGTCAAAAACTTGGAACAAAAAGTCGTAAAAAAGGCGACTTGTTCATTCCAGTTTTGATCACTAGTCAAAAACTTGGAACAAAATGTTGTAAAAACTTTGAATAAAAATCGTCGACTTTTCCATCCCAGTTTTGAACTAGTAAAAAACTTGTAAAACTTTTTAAAAATCGTAAAAAAGTGTTATGAAATCTCAGATTAAAGTATAATTCTGGAACGACTATTTACGACATAGACTCGACTTAAAAAGTTGAGCTTTTGCCGAGTTAAAAAATCTTGTCCATGAGTAGTATAAAACTCGTCCAAAAGTAGAATAAAAAACCGAGTTTTGGTACGACTATTTACGAGTTAAAGTGGACTTTAAAAGTCGTTGGGTAATTATATTGAGCTCTTATAAACTGCTCCTGCATATTTCATCGTTCTCTATTTTTTGTTTTTATACCCATTGAAATATTGTTAAGACGACATTTTATAAATTCTTTCAATATGTCTGAAATTCTGGGTTAACTGTAAGTAATGTTGTTGTTCAATAACATTATTTTAAAGGGCGGAACTTTCAATTTTAATGTTTATCGTATCGTCTTGAAGTATTAATCCGCATAGAGGTCCAACGGATTAATTCCTAGATACAGTTAAACCTTTAATAACGAATACATCGAAAAAAATCATCAAATGTCGTATTCTTCACTTTCTGATAACGGAATGTTGCAGATATTTATTTTTTTAATTAAATAATTATATGGAACTATTTAAAGCTGTTCCCGCATATTCATGGGCTATTTATTTATTTTCGCAAATACTGAAATTTACGTAATATAGTATAGAACTCGTTGAAAAATTGTCAACGACGACATTTGATAAATTCTTCCGATGTATTCGTTATTAAGGGTTTCACTTTAAGTGGATGTCTCTGCAGATACGGTTGAAAAAAAGAGTTAAATTTTTGATTTAGAGATTTAAGAATTAAGTGTTCATTTGCTTCAAATTATATATCTAATTAAGGCGTTGTAGATTAGTTCATGTCATAAACAAAATTTACGGTCCCTTAGCATTTTGAATAAGGGGATTGGGGATAAGGGGAAGTTTTTTTAATTCTTCGTTTTTCAAACATTTCTGCAAATTGACAGAGGGAGGCGGTAAGTTGTATGGGATATTAATGGTACGACTTAGTAACCTTAGCTCGATTGGTTTTCATTTTACACACTCTGAGGAAGGAAAATATATTCGATTCATACATTTAAGAAATTCAAAACATTTATGTTCTTAGCTCTTCAATAAGAGGAGTTACGATTGAAATATTTCTGATTAAAATTTTACGTGTAATGTACTCTAGTTTGACGGATTTGACGTGATGTTTCATTTTTTTAAAAGATGGTTGATTTTTTAAACTTTATTCAATCTAAGAAAATCCACAATAAAATTAAAAAATACATGAAAAATCTATGGTTGTCTACATAATTGATTGAAACTGTATGTATTACTATTTTAGTTATATTTACAGGAATCCAAGGTTAAGATATTGCAATTTTTCTCAAATCCTACATTTTTATCAAAAGATTGCTATAGGATAAGAAAAGGTGAGCTTATCTACGTAAATTCTACTAAATTTTATATTTAAATCTTTCTGCAAAATCTTATGTGTTTACTATTTACAAGAATGTTATTCTAAACATTACAAAACCCATGTTTATTTACATTTAAAAATACCACTAACCAGTCACCAAAATATATTTTTAAGATAAATACATAGTATTTATTACATGTAAACATTTGTACATATTAGAGAAGAAAAATAAATAAAATTAAACTGACTGCAGTGGTCCCCAAAATAAATTGTCTACAAATGTTTGATAACCATGTATGGCAACTGTATATATAACCAGACTATATGTATATATATACATATAAAATATATATATACAGCACAGCTTTGAGAAATTTCCTTTTTCCTAAGGACCACTGACTGAACATCAATACTGCATTATGTCGATAACAACCACAACCACCGAATATTTTCTTTAAAATGTCACTTACATAATTTTTTTATTAACTATGGGGCCAGCTTAGTCCAGTTATGAACGGCGCGGTGTGCAAATAGATTTGAAGATGTAGATTGGAAGAGAGGGGGGTGTTGGGCCCCAATGAGCCCCGCAAAATAATCTCCAAGCCTCTGTATTCGCAGATGACCTGGCGCTACCCCTGAGCGCTGGAAGTAAAAAATACATCACTTCTATAATATATATACTAAAAGAAAGGGGTAGCGCCACGTCATTTTAAAGACTCATTTTGCGAATCAAGAGACTTGGAGATCATTTCGCGGGGCTCATGGCGTCCCTGCACCTCCTCCCTCATTAGAAGTGATTTTTGTAATAAGTAAACACTTTCTTTCATATTTCATTTGTCACAGACGTAATTTCAATTGATTCTCCAGTTGATGAATAGCGTGTTCGAGTCACAACGGTACCGTTCTAAAACTTTTACTGACCAAGGCACGTGGATTTAACGGTTCTGTCAATATATCAAAAAGCTTTGGCTTTCGATCACAATTTGAACCATTATACTTAATATTTTAGCCTTTTTTCTTAAATACTTTTTTGTCGGCATATACATTTTGAAAAAGTATAGAATAAACAAATCCGTAAGTTTAAAGATTGTTGAATTATAGACTAAAAGACGTTTGATTTCAAATAAATGAAACTGAATGCTTCTCACTCTGGTTAGTCCGGGGTGAAGGATAAGGGACTCTAAAAAAACTATTGTACTTGTTTTACATGTAAACAATGTGTCCCTGATAAAGTCTGATCAAGCTTTTCAGTCCACTAAACATTGAGTAAAAAGTGTTTCATAGAGGTACAATACTCACAAATGCGAGGGTCGTAAATGAAACATTTTACTCTAAAATGCCGTTCTTTCCATCAAATTGTACTCGAAATGTGGGATCGATCCCTATTTCAAAGATTTTTTTATAATTTGAAATCTTTTTTCGTCTTTTAGTTTTTTCTAGAATTTAAAATGGGCAATTTATTCTATTCTGTCGTTTAAAAAATTAAATTGTAATTTGAATTCTTTTTAATCTTTAAAAAGAAGACCAAGCACATTTCTGAATATCAGGTCCGCTATTGAGGGTTTAAACGGCATTTAGAGAAAAATATTTCCCCGGCGCCCCCCCCCCCCCTCCACTTTTTAGTCATTTGAACTTTTTTCAGAGATACCCTGTATATATTTAAAATTCATAAATATTGTTGTAAAATATCAGATAAACCATGTTTGTTGAGTTTAGAGGAGCAATCCGAAACAATTTGTATTAATATGAAAACTGAGAAGCTGCTAGGATTATTGCTTTCTAGTTGAATAGATATACATGAAGTCACAATGTAAATCACAATGTACGCTAGCGAACACTGCGGTAATTTAAATGAAATTATAGAGATAAACGGATTGATCAGATTCAGTCATAGGGTAAATAGGACATTCTCCTCTTTACATAGAGAGTTACTTAAAAGTACGCTGACAGTCCCTTTAAAGAGAGTAGCGAGTTGTAAAAATGCCCTCAACAATTAAAGAGAGAAAAAGTGACCTGGGGTTTTTTCGTAGAAAATAAAAAGAGAGGCATATGCTTGAAAACAAAAGTCAATAATTTTATACATTGTTTTGAAAATAGATGTGTTATACTTTTTTTTAAAGAGGAACTAAGTTTTAAAAATGCCAACAAAATACAAACTTGTCAACTAATCGAAAATCCCTTTGAAGGGTCTGTAAACGTCATTTCAAGTGACCCTCCATACTAAGATGGCAATAGCTGTACCCTTGGAACCGGTTTCTGATAAAAATGTCGTTTTTCTAGGTTTAAAATTGTTTAATTCTGACATTTTTCTCCAAAGTAGTCAGTTTTGTAGAAAATTCGCAATTGATAATAATTAGTTCTTTTAAGTAATAAACATTAAAATCTTATTTACACTTTATCAGACAAACTTTTAAGGGTTTCGTTGTGAATCGGGCATTACCATTTTTTCATAGAGGGTCGCTTGAAATTACGCTTATAATCCCTTTAACTATAAAAATCTATAAAAACTTTGGATATGACACTCAATTACAATATTCACCAGAATTTGAAGAAAAAAATACAAATTGATGCCTATAGGTTATAAGTTACAAAGTTTGATTACGAGGAAGGTTTTTCTTTATATCCATATCCAATCTGGATGTTTCCTAGATTCAGTTTAGGCAACTTGTCTTTCATGTTGTATGGGTCTTTCCCGTACCGGGCAATTATCTAAAAAAATATTTTTTAATTGATTGGGAATTGCAGTTTATTTGGGGAGTTCAGCTTTTTTTAAAAACACAAGTTTTTTGTATTTTTGATTTTAGGTATCGTTTATTTTAAAAGAAGCAAATAATATTATAGAACTTTTTGAAAAAAATTATGATTAATAAAATCCAAATTTTACGCCTCGTCATGTACGCGGGGGAAGGCAGGCAGGCCATAAGCCACTACATTTTTCCCTTCCATGCCACTTATTAGCTTTTTTGTCTTCCGGCAGCCATAAGCCACAACTGTTCGGTCTTCCATGCAACAACATTTGAGTCNTTTAAAGGTTAAAAGGTTTAAAGGTTTAAAGGTTAAAAGGTTTAAAGGTTTAAAGGTTAAATTTTAACGAGCCAATTTTATTTTCGATTTTTGAAGATCAAAAATACATTTATAAGTGTCACTTAGTTGTCATTACCTCCAGCGCAAAGTTGTCAAATTTCTTGTTATTTTTCGTCTGCTGTTGAGATCTCCAATAAGGACGACTCTTCAACGACTTAAAAATAAACAAAATTAAACAAAAAATTGTAAATTAAAATAATAAAAAAATATTTCGATTTGTTCAATTTACACCAGTACCCTTTAAACCTTTGCTGACCAAGGATTACGGACTTTTCCTTATTTACCGACAGAAACACTTGTAATTATTGAACGCTTTGTTTTCAAGTTGTTTTACATTAAAAAAAATAAGTCTCCATTTTCTAGAAGTCGAATAAAACATATTTAATTTTAATTTTTGAAATACGGTTTTCACTAAGATTTAAACAACTCTAAACTTTTGTCATCAAAGTTTTAGACAATCAACTTTAAAGTTTCGCAACGCCTTGGTTTAACTTCATTAACTTAATTATACTTTTTTGTAGCCATAGGCATATACATTTTAAAATTACATTTACGTTTTAACTTAAGAGATAATTTAGATTAAGAAAAGAACATTAACTATATATCTAACAGTGGACCAGAAAACCGTGAATTATAAAAGTGCCTTTCCGACTCAAATCCAAGAATTGAATTATTTACAAAATGATTAAACATGGTAGTTATACAGTGTACACTTATACACTTAGTAATTAGATTAAACATGGTAGTTATACAGTGTACACTTATACACTTAATAATTAGATTAAACATGGTAGTTATACAGTGTACACTTAAACACTTAATAATTAGATTAGTGAACCACTGGTAAAACAACATCTAATACAGGGAATATTGCTAAAATGTCGATGAGCTGTCCTATTCTACAATTGTATGTGTTTCTCTGTGCATACTAAAAGTGCTGAAATTAATTACCCATAACAGAAAAAATACAAATAAGGTGAATCCAAACTCCGGTTCATTTATAGTACCAGGCCGACATTAATCCAGCTAGAGTAAGTACACAAGACAGACTTCAGGTAAAATATTCTCGAAAATTTAGAAAGGTTGGTCGGACGTCGCAAGCACCGAATATATTAGCTATATGCCCACGTGGGTCAACTACATGCTGGGTACTCTAGACGGGTTTGTACGAGTTAGCACTAGACCGGTATCCTAGTCCTGGTTCATGAAACGTTTTGCCTCATGTGTACCTGGAACCCCCAATGGTAGGTGAAAGCATTGTTTAACACGTAAAATTCATATCCGGCCACAAACATCTCATAAACCTAGAAAAAAGCTTTAATTTTTATTTTTTAATAATTCTGTTGGTTTAAGAATCAAAAATCCATCAAAAACGTCAAACAATTGAAGTTGTAGCCACAAAAAAACTTTTTTTTAGAGTTTTATTTTGTGCCAATTGATTTAAAACGCTGCCCAATTTGTAACGGTGCCCTTAATAACCTTTATCTGAGTAGCAATTCTGTCAATTTACATCCTTTTTTCTGCTACAAAACCCAAGTGTCAATTTTTAATGAAACCGCAATTGAAAAACCAACATTTTTTATGGAAAAGCAAAAATATCTCACTTATTTTGCAAAAACAAGGTTTAAAGGTTAAAAGGTTTAAAGGTTAAAAGATTTAAAGGTTAAAAGGTTTAAAGGTTTAAAGGTTAAAAGGTTTAAAGGTTTAAAGGTTAAAAGGTTTAAAGGTTAAAAGGTTTAAAGGTTTAAAGGTTAAAAGGTTTAAAGGTTAAAAGGTTTAAAGGTTAAAAGGTTAAAAGGTTTAAAGGTTAAAAGGTTTAAAGGTTAAAAGGTTTAAAGGTTTAAAGGTTAAAAGGTTTAAAGGTTAAAAGATTTAAAGGTTAAAAGGTTTAAAGGTTTAAAGGTTAAAAGGTTTAAAGGTTTAAAGGTTTAAAGGTTAAAAGGTTTAAAGGTTAAAAGGTTTAAAGGTTTAAAGGTTAAAAGGTTTAAAGGTTTAAAGGTTAAAAGGTTTAAAGGTTAAAAGGTTAAAAGGTTAAAAGGTTTAAATGTTTACTGGGTATCTATGTAAACCAGGCATGTAACTTAAATTCAAATAAAGAATCCCTTTAATTTATCTGACCAGTCCCTTTTAGGAATTTACATTTTTTTAAATATAAACAAGATTTAAATTAGATTAAGTTTTTAATAGTTGCACATATTCATTAGATAAAAGTTTCAAGCATACCAATGTGAATCTTGCCTGTCACTCTGTAATCTAAGGGTTATATGAAATATCGTAATCAATCCCTTTGAAGTATATACCTGCGTATTCCTGGTCATACCGAACCCAATAAACCTCTCGTCAAAAAGCGGGGTATCTCCCTTAGAGATATACAAGGGTTCATACTTGAATATATACTTCTCAACCTTCCAACAATCGATAAATCAATTTAACAAACAAAAGCTGTTCGAAAATACGTTTCCAGTACATTAACATTATGTTCAAAATAAGAACATTTAATCCGAAAATACCAATATTATACTCAAAATACGATCATTGTATTCAAAAATACGAACATTAGATTCGAAAATATGAACATCATAGTCGAAAATATGAACATTATATTCGAAAATATGAACATTATATTCGAAAATACGAACATTATTTTCAAAAATGCGGACAGTATTTATAATGTTCTAAAATACAAACATTTCATTCGAAAAAAACCCGAATATTATATTCTTAAATACGACTATTATATACGAAAGTATGGTCTTATATTAAAAAATTCTAACATTATATTAGAAAATATGAAGATCATTTTAAAAAATACGGACAATATCAGTAAAAAGATAAAATTTCGACGATTGTATTCGAAAATAAGGTCATTATATTAGTAAATACAAAAATTATATTCGAAAATTCGAACATAATGTTCGTAAATACAAAAATTATATTCGAAAATACGATCGAACATTATATTTGAATATTATTTTCGAAAATACGAAAATTGTATTAAAAAATACGAACACAACGGAATACAATGAAAAGACAGAATACATTCTGTTCAATCGTCTCTACACTGCGAACTATACAAAAGGTTCGATTAAAAATTGTAAAACATAATCGGCACAACTTTGTGACCTGGTAGCTCCTCTAGTTTTCCTTTTATACACAAATATGAGAGAAGCAAATTTTATCCGGTTGCATATATATAAATATATATATATCATTACTTTTTTTTTGAATAGCTATTGAAAAGAACAAAAATGTTTTGTATAGATATATATATACTGGCTGAAGGGCCCGGCGTTGCCCCGTGAAAAAAATATCGTTAAAAATATATTTTAAGTAAAAGGTTTCGATTTTTTTAGCCTATAACACCCCCCGGCCACCCATAAGNGTCCCAGTTTTTACTGTATCGCCCGGACATTGGGTAAATAAAGCAAACACTCAATAGGACTAGCCGGTGCAACAAGGTTGACGCGGTCAGACTTTAGGTTTAATTTACTTTTACTAAAAGGTGCGAGGTGCGTGTTGGTGTATAAGTAATTTTATATAATAGTTGTGCACTTGCTTACTTGCTTATTTTGAAAACTGAAAATAGTATATTTTTATTTTATATTTTTATTTAAGTCGAAATGAAAAACGTTAGAAATTTTGGTACCAATGATAATTTAGCTAACAAACTGCTTTATTTAAATTAAGTTTCTTAACATATTATTAATCAGTCACTGCAATCAGTTGTGAACATTTTTTGACATATTTGTTGTTAGCTATCTTTTCTTAATTTCTTGATGAATGCTTACCTCAACTCATTTTTGTTCTTTGGTGTTGATGTTAAATCACTTTTAATTTCATAGGTTGGCACTACGTAGGCACATTTATTACAGTTTTCCTACACATTTTACACCATAGTTATTAGAAAAAAAAACACCAAAAATTCACTAAGGAATTGAGTCAAAAAACTCAACTTTTCTAATCTTATATCTTTACATCCTTTTTTTGAATTAATTAATTGTGAAGATAATTTATCAATGAAATTCCAAAATATCTTTGAAATCTAATTTTAGATGAAATAAGAATTTGTAAGTTTTTTTTGTAAGATTTGGTAAGATTTGATAAGATTTGATAAGATTTGGTAAGATTTTGTAAGATTTGATAAGATTTGATAAGATTTGATAAGATTTGATAAGATTTGGTAAGATTTGGTAAGATTTGGTAAGATTTTAGATTTTATGAGAGTTGACAGGATTTGGTAAGATTTGATAAGGTTTGATAAGATTTGATAAGATTTGACAAGATTTGATAATAATTTGGTATAAGATTTGGTAAGATTTTGTAAGATTTTGTAAGATTTGATAAGATTTGATAAGATTTGGAAAGATTTGGAAAGATTTGGAAAGATTTGGTAAGATTTGGTAAGATTTCGTAAGATTTTGTGAGAGTTGACAGGATTTGGAAAGATTTGTCAAGATTTGGTAAGATTTAATAAAATTTGAGAAGATTTGATAAGATTTGATAAGATTTGATAATATTTGGTATAAGATTTGGTAAGATTTGATAAGATTTAATAAGATTTAATAAGATTTGGTAAGATTTGGTAAGATTTGGTAAGATTTGGAAAGATTTAGTAAGATTTGCTAAGATTTGATAATATTTAGTAAGATTTGGTAAGATTTGGTAAAGATTATTCGGAATAAAAAAAAGAAACATTTTCAATTGATTTCTAAAAAAATCATTTTTTACTTTTGACACACAAAAAAGGTTTCAATGTTTTTTTTATGTTCCAATAAATATGTTTTCATTAAATTCCCTACATTTTGATATTTTTAATCTTAAACAGAAATTTTGCAAAAAAAACTGGTCTGAAAGCACCAGTTTAACCCTCTTTTTTAATAGAAACATTGGCTTCGCATCAAAGTGTTAAAAAGTCCCTACTGTTAAGACTTTTATCTGCATGAAAGCCTCCCAAAAAAACTTATCACCCTTCTTTTTACCTGGCTCTCAATAAATTTCTCTAATTGCATATCTATACCAGCAGGAAGTACCATGTCTAAACAAATATAAAACTGTAGTATAGGTTGTCATAAACACATTTGTAGTTTGAAAATCAACTTTTCAAGAAGAACGAACTTGTGGACAGTGGTAAACTGCACCATTGCTAAAATTTATGTTCATTAGACTCTTCCTATTCCACAGTTTTACAGGTCTCCCTTTAGTTGTCTATCTCAATCTAAATGTAAATGCTAGCCGTTTGGTCGGCTATAGACAACATATACACATTACTTAGTTTAACGTGTCTGAAGTCTCATCCTTTTAGGGTTACACTGTCCCTTTAGCAGTTTAACATTAAATAGATTTAATTGTTCCTTGTATGCAATCTTCATTTCTTCTTCATCCTCTAGTTTCTCCCATTGTTGGAGGTTACTGGCCTTCTGATTTATCGAGTACAGCTAAACAAATATTATGTTTTATAAAGGGAAAGATGTCGTGTTTAAAAAGTATTCTTCTTTTATTATTTTATTCTGAAACATCTTTTCTTTAGAATTTGTTTTAAAATTCATCTTGAATAATTTTAAAATCACTGCATCGGTTCAACAAAATTTTATTTAAATATTTTCCTGGAAAGGAATTGAGTTCTGGTCACAAACTCTAATAATCTAAGCCCTATATCTTTGAAACCCAATATTGTGGATCTTAGATATTTCAAACTTTGAATTCCGTTAGATTAAATATTCTCAGTTTAAAATATCAAAGTTTACACCATCAGGCTGCAAAGATATAGAGATTAGAAAATTAGAGTTTGTGGTACAGACTCAATTCCTTTTCAGACTGAATTCGAATTCTAAAAAACGTTAAAAATTAACGAGTTAAAGGAGAAAAATTCAAATTTTTTTGTGATAAAAAATTTCTTTGTTGAAGTTTTAAAACAAATTTCAAATTCCAAAGTAATCATTTTACACGAAATTTTTTAAAGTAATTGAGTTTTGCCACAAACTAAAATCTTCTGATTCCTTATCTTTGCAATCTTTTGATGCAAACCTTTGATATTTCAAACTTAGATTATTTTATTATTAATAGTTTGAAATATCTAAGGTCTACGACATTGGGTTACAAAGATATAGAGATTAGAAAATCAGACTTTGTGGCAAAAACTCAACTCCTTTCAAGAAATTATGCTGATTCAATTATGATGTAAGAAATCTTTAATCTTCATATATATGTCCACAATTTTTTTGGCTATGCGAATTTATCTAAAACGATTTTTTGCATGCGTATTTATTACGATGTAAAAGTACAGTTTAATGGTTTTTAGAATGTTGAAGAAAAACTAGAGCTTATAGTAATACCTTTAAATGAAACTGCTGTGCTTTTCCTGTTTTAACCAATTCTCTAAAATAACAAAAATAAGTAGTTTTTGTAACCTCGCCCTGTACAGGAAATAAAAATATACATAACATAACTATTGATAAAACCAATAATTCGGTTTTCTGCGAGTTTTATCTCAAAATCCTTCTTATTTTTCACCTAGCTTTAGCGATAAAGAGGAAATTTCCATCCAAAAACTTTGTAGCAAGTCATGTTAAAATATTAGTGGTCACGGGCAGCCGTGGTACATTTGAATTTCCGAGCCGGGTCAACCTTTCCGGTCCCAGTTTTTACTGTATCGCCCGGACATTGGGTAAATAAAGCAAACACTCAATAGGACTAGCCGGTGCAACAAGGTTGACGCGGTCAGACTTTAGGTTTAATTTACTTTTACTAAAAGGTGCGAGGTGCGTGTTGGTGTATAAGTAATTTTATATAATAGTTGTGCACTTGCTTACTTGCTTATTTTGAAAACTGAAAATAGTATATTTTTATTTTATATTTTTATTTAAGTCGAAATGAAAAACGTTAGAAATTTTGGTACCAATGATAATTTAGCTAACAAACTGCTTTATTTAAATTAAGTTTCTTAACATATTATTAATCAGTCACTGCAATCAGTTGTGAACATTTTTTGACATATTTGTTGTTAGCTATCTTTTCTTAATTTCTTGATGAATGCTTACCTCAACTCATTTTTGTTCTTTGGTGTTGATGTTAAATCACTTTTAATTTCATAGGTTGGCACTACGTAGGCACATTTATTACAGTTTTCCTACACATTTTACACCATAGTTATTAGAAAAAAAAACACCAAAAATTCACTAAGGAATTGAGTCAAAAAACTCAACTTTTCTAATCTTATATCTTTACATCCTTTTTTTGAATTAATTAATTGTGAAGATAATTTATCAATGAAATTCCAAAATATCTTTGAAATCTAATTTTAGATGAAATAAGAATTTGTAAGTTTTTTTTGTAAGATTTGGTAAGATTTGATAAGATTTGATAAGATTTGGTAAGATTTTGTAAGATTTGATAAGATTTGATAAGATTTGATAAGATTTGATAAGATTTGAATAAGATAAGATAAGATAAGATAAAGTTTATTGCTAAAATAAATGTATCTGTATACAGATAGAGTTTACAATCACAAAATTGATGATTATCTTAACAGTACAAGTATAAAGCAATTATATATATATAAAATACTATGCTTGTCTGTTTGTCTGTCCGTTTGTATCCAATAAACGTCAAAACAGCTAAACTGATCGGGCCCAAATTTGTGTGCGGGACATCACGTGACCCTACCCCAGGGAAGGTTTATAGATGATCCAAATTTCAAAAAATTGCCTCCAACAAAATTCGATTTACTTAAATTTTTGAAATCCCTGATTTTTTGTTTTTGTTCTACAATGTATACAAAGAGAAAATGTTCACAATTGAAATAGAAGAAGCGCCCTAAAATCCCATATCTTAAAAAATAAAGAAAAAAAGAAATATTTTAGGACAGTTATCTTTAAATCTAAACACCTGTTTTCAGTAATAAACATGCCGTGAAATATTGTTTACTTAAGTTCAATTTTTCACAATTTTACTAAAATTCATTAAGAATACGTTTACACTGATTCTAGGTTATTAGTACATCTGTTTCAAATCTATGTCTATTTCTCTGTTTCTTTGCTGTTAATATTAATGTTAACATTGAAGTGTAAGAAAATGTCAGTGAAAAGGGGAGCAAAGTGTCCTGTAAACCTAGTTACCTATATCTGGTATGTATGTGTATTCAGTCTGACACGTTCTCTTTGCAGTATTTCTGCAGAATACATTCAATTATTAATTTTATTTCAATCAGGAATAAAGTATTACACGCCTTCTGGATAGATATAAAATGTCCCGCGGCATTTGTCATGCGCGCAGCTGATATGTTCTGAATGGATTTCCTGAGTAAGTTCTGCGGATAAGGATAGCTGACTCTCCATGTAGACATATTCTGAAACAATAAGATGAATAAGATTAAGTCTTATCTCTCCAGAAAAATATTCAGTATAAGGAATTTGTTTAAAAGGTTTTAAATGAAAAAAATTAAAACTTTTTGATTTAAATCAAAATTCAGTTATTCTTATTATTTATTAAATATAAACATTGCTGAAACTTTATACAATTTCTTCATTAGCTTTAGACGGAACATCCATAGAAAATGTTACACACTATTGTTAAATATTTTTACTTTAGGTAGATAGCTCATCAACTGCTCAAGATATATCTTATGGTCCTCACATTTAACCTAAATTAAAAAATATAGTTTTTTATTGAACCTTTATGATGCGAAAAACATAAAAACAAATTATTCAAACAATAAATAGTTTTAATAAAAAAATGTTAATTTTGCATAAATTTTTCCATAAGTGCAAGAACAGTGAATGTTTCAGACAAACAATTTTAAAAACAGTTATTTTTCTAATACTTTCTAAAATTTTGACCCTGAAAGAAATTATAGGCAAAACGTACAAAAAATGAACAAAAAACGAACCAAAAACGTACCAAAAACGTACCAAAAACGAACCAAAAACGAACCAAAAAAGAACCAAAAACAAGCCAAATGAATGACTAGGGTGTCGAGTGCACGGTATACCTGGTTTTCGTGTATTTCATTAAATATGTCCATATTCATAACTCCTGGGTGTTCTACAGGTTCAACAAGGTGGAAAGAAACCTAGATATAAATATTTTCAATTTGAAAACATCTTTTTTATATGGGATTACTGGGAAAAAAACCATTGAAAAATGGCAGATCTTTTCTTAATCCGATTTTATCAAAATCTAAGCACAATTTTTTTTTTAAATTTATCATTTTAAAAATCTTTACAAATATAATTTCAAATTTAAATTCATTCAAAAGATTTCCAAGATTAAGGCATGACATGAAATGTTTTGATTTAGTTGTTTTGCATTTTAGAAGGTGTATAAAGCTTAATAAATTAACTTTGAAATATAGCACTCATTCAATATGTTTACTATTGAGCCTCTAATAGGTAGTTTTCAAAAGGCATTTTCCTAAGTGACATTTTTCCAAGTGACATTTTTCCAAGTGGCAACTTCCAAATGTGCAATATCCCAAGCGGGAAATTCCGTAAGGTTAGGTTAGTGCTATGGGGCCAAGCGCTGCGGTTAGAATTGGCTGAGGGGACGAACGCTGCGGCTAAAACAAACTTTGGAAATTGCACATTTGGAAAGTTGCCTCTTGGGAAAATGCCTTTGGTTTGGCTGATTTCGAAAAAATATCAGTGTAAAGTGTACACGTTATAGAGCAACAGTACAGTTTATACTTTATAGTGTACAGTGTACGGTGTACGGTGTAAAGTGCACAGTGTACAATGTACATACCTGTTGATGTAGATTAGGATAGCAGTGGGATAAGAACTGGATATATTTATGTGCTACTGATAACTCAAGATCAGGAGTAAATATAGCTAAAGATAACTGTCCTGTCCATCCTCCAAGCAGCTCAACTAACATACAATTCTATTATTAATGGGTTAATTTAAAGGGACATGTCCCGGTTTTTAAAGTGGAAAATGACAATCATATCTTAACTACAATTAGTATTTTTCAATTGAATTAAAACCGTGTTAAAATCTTCAAATGTGTCAAATAATGCCAATCCAACTAATCTCCTGTTGGCCAAGTCTCAAACTCTCTGAGCCTATGAGAAATTGGTCAATCCTTGATACAAAAAAATACATATTAATATAAGTATAATACTAAAAACTAAATTTAGGCGATAATAAGAAAAAAATTTGAAGAATGAAATACTTTTAAAATATAGGCTGATTAATACTTTTAAAATATGGGCTGATTAATACTTTTAAAATATGGGCTGATTAATACTTTTAAAATATGGGCTGATTAATACTTTTAACAAAGCGTCCAACCCAATTTTACAAAAAAAAACTTAAAATCTTTTTTATTTTTAATCATTTTTGAAAAAAAAACAGTTAAAGTTTGGCAAAGAAATCAACACTTTTTTATTCTACATTCAATTTTATATATGACAGAAAACTATGTACATTGTTCACACTTCTTTATGATTTCTACATTAAAGAAATGGCTTGGCAATAAAGAACAGCAAACTACAAAATAATTTAAAATAAAGAATGATGAAATTAAAATGATTGAATTCCTAGATGATAAATCCTGTCCACACTAGTCTGGGCTCCCAGGCAAATATGTCTCTGAAAAATGTAAAAATAAAACATTTTTAAATCAATGCACTGTATATATTTTTACAGTTTAAATGTAAACCCCAGGGATAGTTATCATTTATTTAAAAAGTTGTAAATCCAATTCACAATTCTTTGAGACTCATCAAAACATGAGGAAATATCGTCGTTTTCCTCAATGTTTTCAAAAATTTACTTTAAAAGTGACTTGAGGATTTAAGCAGATATTACAAAGACGGAAATTTAGAGAGACGTGATCCCAGATAAAATAATTAGAGTTCCGTTGTGAATAGTTCATGAAACTCTGTAAAAAGGTTCATTTAAAAATTTCGTATACAGTACCTTTAAATTCAGATTCCACTTAAAATTCCGTCTACAATCCCTTTAAACTAATTTTGAATTAAAGTATCACCTTGCCAAGGTGCAACCAGTTTTGTCCAGTTTTGCTGAAGTCGAAAACTTTAAACATTCTAAAATAAGGAATCTGTCAAGAAGGTCCCAGGTGTACAGTGTACAATGTACAGTGTACAATGTACAGTGTACAGTGTACAGTGTACAGTGTGCAGTATACAGTTACAGTATATAGTGTACTGTGTACAGTATACAGTGTGCAGTGTGCAATGTACAGAGTACAATGTACAGTGTATATGTGTACAATGTGCACTGCATGCTGTACAGTGTACAGTGGAGATATGTATAAATGAGAACTACATGATGTACTACATACCTGAATTGATCAAATACCCCTTCTCCAGGTTTATACTGAATCGTAAACTCTTCCTGAGTCTCAGAGTGTTGGTTCAAGGGAGCATATTCTTTATTCAAATTCTCTGGATTCAAATTCTCTGGATTACAATTCTCCGGATTTAAGTTCTCCGGAGTCAAGTTCTCCGGTTTAGCCGGAGCATTTTGAAGCCCAGCGGCTAGAGCTTGCTGAGAAGGTTTAGTCTCTACTTCTGTTTGTACACCCTCCTCACCCGTGTACTCTAAACTGTACATAAAGGATCGATAAAATGGCGTCCAGGAAAACTTTTAAATCAAATCTCTTTCTACTACAATGTAAAATAATAAAGTATGAGTAATGGTTAAAGCTTTAATTACAGGGTTACCAACTAATAAATAGAAATACCCTGAATTTCGGAAAATCAAAAAAATCAATTAATTAAAAAAAACTTATCGTGTAAAAAAACACATTTTTAAAATTTTGGTATTGAAGACGATATAAATTTGAAATGCGCGATGTTTACCTGAGAAGTGCTCTTGGATCCCCAGGCGGGGAGTGTACGCCCGTATGGGAGAAGGAATACATAACTAGTGTAAACGACAGGAACAGGTTTACTCCTTAAATAAAAACGCAATTATGTATTACAGTGGTAACCAGAAAACTGACATATTTCTGAAAATGTTGAATTTAAAGACGGTTCAACCACGTTTATTGATTTCTTGATTTGTCCATGTCATACAGATGATAAACTACATTCATTTTCTATTCATCTATCCTTTATCTATTCAGTTTCTATTCATCTACCCTTTATCTATTCATTTTCTATTCATCTATCCTTTATCTATTCAGTTTCTATTCATCTATCCTTTATCTTTTCATTTTCTATTCATCTATCCTTTATGTATTCATTTTCTAATCATCTATTCTCAATCTATCCATTTTCTATTTATATATTCATCATCTATTAATTTTCTAATCATCTATTCTTAATCTATAGTTTTCTATTAATCTATTCTTAATCTATGGTTTTCTAATCATCTATTCTCAATCTATCCATTTTCTATTTATATATTCATCATCTATTAATTTTCTAATCATCTATTCTTAATCTATAGTTTTCTATTAATCTATTCTTAATCTATAGTTTTCTATTAATCTATTCTTAATCTATGGTTTTCTATTTCTCTCCATAAATTAGCGGTGTATATTATTAAGCATTTTCTAAAGATCTGGGGGGTGAATTTAAAATTAAACCTCAAAAGGCAAGTTTTTTCGTCTATTTCATACTTTTTACCCGAAAATTAATTTTATTTTTCCCTAAAAATCATTTATTTTCCCAATTCAGCAAATAAAACCCTAAAAAATAAATACTTAATTTTCGGGGGGAGAGAAGGAGGGTTTTCCAAAGGGAGGGGGTAATCTAAAGACTATATACATCCCTACCATAAATATAAGGTAATATTGGCCAAGGTCCAGAGTTTGATGTTTTGATGTTTTAATTAAAAACTGACCTGTGGTTAGCACAGCAAGCTGCCAGCATCGAGTACCCCTCATCTGCAAATATATTAATTAAGTTTATTAAAAAAATTTTTAATCGTTATTTTTAGGGTTAACAATCCTTATTTATAGCTCAGAGTCAGAAAACATAAATCTTAACTTATTTAACATTAGTTTGAAGATGTTAAGACTAAAGTGATATTCAGTAAACGGTCGAATAGAAAGACGACATGATAGCAATACTCAGCGTTATTAATTTTTTTAAAAAGCAAATAGTAAAACTTCTTTATTAACTTAAATGGGTAAATTTTATTTCATGGGTAAATTTTTGTGTCTCGTGTTCAATTTTAAAGTCATAACTTTAGACTTATCAGATTAAATATCTAATACCATATATCGGAGGAATCGGAGCAAGCTAGTTTTAACTTCTTGGGGGTATTTTCTCCGTGGGGGAGGAGGGGGGGGGGGTGCTCTTATTGGTTTAAATGCAGTTGTCCTATGGTTACGATGTATGAAAAAAAAATTTTAGATTTAAAATTTTTTTTTCAGTTTTGCTGATGGTTTCCTCTACAAAGGGAAAATAATCTAACACGATTTTTGAAACTGTTAGTATAAATTCCATAAATGAAAGTGCACTTTTACAGCCCAGATCCAAAATTTACGATAAATATCAATGACATATACATTTTGCATCAAGAAAAAAAAACTTTAAAAACTTTCAGTTTCATGTCTGAACCTTTCGTGAATTGTAAAAATCATTTCCCCCGACTTGTCATGCAGGATTCCCCCTGTTTACTGACAACTGTCCCCATCCCCGGGAATATAAGATGTGTGCTCGATAAAACATAAGAAAACAATTTTCTTGGAGTATATAAAAATGAACAGAGAAGTTGTTCTTGGAGTATAAAATGTACAAAGCTCCCAGGGCGCTTTGCGCGTCGATTTCTTGTTATAATTTAATTTCTGACGTGATACTTTACCAGGGACCATTTTTTTCGTACAGGGTGTCCCACGAAACATGACAGTAGCAAGACGATAAGTCGTCTTTAATCTTTAGATTCATTAATGACATTTTTAATTCAAAAAAAGAAAAAACACTGTTAAAATCTTATCGGGACAATTTTTTCGTACATGGTGTCCCACGAAACATGACAGTAGCAAGACGATAAGTCTTAATCTTTAGATTTATTAATGACATTTTTAATTCAAAAAAAGAAAAAAATATTGTTAAAATCTGAACAAAATTAATCATAATTCCGGTAATATTTAGAGCACAAAAAAGACAAAATTTTGGAAATATGCCAAGATTAGGGTTATTTTGTGTTTATTAACTCTAAAATTTTACTTCTAAAATTTGCTTTACGATTAAATTATTTCAAAGATCAAAGACGACATTCAAGCTGTCTTGCCACTGTCATGTTTCGTGAGAGACCCTGTACATTAAACATTTAATCTTACAATTTGGCAGATTTATTTTTTTTCTTGGTTGATTTCCAAAAAAAAATTAACAACATATTTCTAAGGAATACGTATTTTTCGACTGGACTCGATATGCGAAATCTGTTTAGTTCTTTAAACGGCAGAATTGATTTGCATTGAATGCATTTATTAAATGATCTTCATATGAACAATCTACAAATATGATATAATAAATGGTGCTAGCCAGTTTGTCCAAAATAAGTTTAAGGATTATATAAATTTCACGGCGTTATAAGAAAGATTACGAAAATATTTTTCATACGATTAAGCCATGGAAAGTTAATGTCTTCACTAGAAAATTTAATACTTGCTCCTCCACAGACAGAATATTGATATAGAATATTATTGAAAAAAGAAAAGTAATAAAAAACAAAGTTGTAAGAACTAAACAATAAAAATAGTTTTAATTTATGATTTTCATTAAAGGGACTGGTATCGTAGTTCTACACGATCCTCAACTTAAGGAGCATACCCAAATCACAGTGGTACCCTCGAAACCTTAATCAGATTAGAAATTTCGAAGATAACTAAAAAGCCAAAAAACCGAGGTTTTAGTTTTTAATAATTTTTCAAACCAGTTTTCAGAAATAAAAACCTAAATATCATTTTCTTACTTGATTCAAAAAAGCTTTTAAGTGCATCTACAATTAGAGTGTCAATTGAAAATACGTTTTAAGTCGCTTAAACTTTTTCTTTAAATAGATTTCTATCTTTTAATATTTCTCCTTATTTATTCTAATAAATAACACTCTTAATTGTTGTAAAAATCAGTCAGGGTAGGCTAAAAGTCACACCCCGCCGGGTTAGATAATTTTTTTAGATTTGCATTTTAAAGTAAAATTTTTAAAAAGCTTCTTTAGTTTATTTTTATAATTGCCTATTTCCAAATGTTGATTATATTGTTATAGTATTTATTGCAACTATACTGAACTGTACTTTACTTGAATACACTGTACAGTACTTTGCTGTACTGTATTGCGACGTCCTGTACTGAGCCCGAATCTTTCCATCTGTACTTTTTGCAAACATATGACGTCTTTCCTTACTAACTTCCCAATTTAGGAGAAAGTGTGTACTGTCTAAATGCGATCTTCCAGGATATTAAGTGTCCGACCATAAACTGCTACATGGCGCGACCCCCTATAGACGAAAATAAATAAAAACCTGTTCAAAATTGAGATTTAACCAAACTATAACGATGTTCTGTAATGTCGAAAGCAGGTGCTGACACCTATAATAAGGATAAAACACGGTGAAGTTATGTGAGTTAACCATTAACTAACAGGAGACATCTAGCGGACAAACACTATAGAGTAAGGAGACATACAAAGTACGTCTTAAACACGCCCGTTAAGTTGGGAAGATTCGGGCTCTGTAAAGTTACTATACTATATACTGTATTGTACTATACTGCTCTGTCCTGAATTATAGCAAAAGAGTTTTAAAACAAAATGTTATAAAATATTCTTGTAAGACACAACCAAAAAGCCTCCATTGTCATTTTTCAATGTTCATGTCATATTAATTTCCGAAAATAGAATTTAGTTATGGCCGAATTTTTTTCTTTTTTTGAGATTTGATGTTTTAACAAATTAATAATCTTGCAAAACAAATTATAATATTCTAGTAACTGTCTTTGTATTTCTATAGTTCTAATGTAAACTAAGGTCCAGGAAGGATGATAAGAAATATTGTAATATTTAAAGTATAGGTGACTCATGCTAAAAACCTCCCCCAGCCTCACACCTTTATCTCTTTGTTCTTTTAATGAATGCGGAGTAGTTAACCTGAACTGATTCATTAAGATTCAACAGTGCACCCCAGATCCTTGAATAGAACAGACGTATGAGCCAAGCTCCGTTTGTTCAACCAAGGCTGGGGGACGGGCACTTCATGGACAGCTCTCAGAAGGCTTACAGCATGTGGACTTACATGATTATATCTTACATGATCATATCTTCAGGAATACAATAAACCATTGATGAGACAGATATCTCAGGTTACAGCAGATCAGAGGAATAAACCATTGATGAGACAGATATCTCAGGTTACAACAGATCAGAGGAATAAACCATTGATGAGACAGATATCTCAGGTTACAACAGATCAGAGGAATAAACCATTGATGAGATAGATATCTCAGGTTTACAGTAGAATCAGAGATATGTGGTTCCACCTCAGTACAGCTGGTTCAACTACCCACACACTCTAATACTCCAGATGTTCTATGGTTAGAAACACTGGAGCTGTAGAACAGACGAGAGAATCAGAGAGATGTAGTTCCACCTCTATACAGCTGGTTCAACTACCTACACAATCTAATATTCNCTTAACGGCTGAGGGACTCTTCATATACACGAGTTAGGGGAGACTTGCTTCACTGCTGAGGGACTCTTCCTCATATAAGAGTTAGTGGAGGCTTGCTTTACCGCTGAGGGACTCCACAAATATATGGAATATGATTTAATATAAATAGATATTAACAGATATATTTGTACCAATAAAATGTGTCATGTTAAACCACCCACTTATTCAAGACCTTGAGAGATAGATATTATACATAAGAAGAGAGGTTTGGGTGAATTATGAACTGGTACTGGGAATGAAAGTGAAGTCTTGCATTAACCCTCAAAGATGGGGGGGGCAACGATTGATCTTGATTTCCCTAGGATTTATGTCTGGGATTGTAACGATATCAAGGGATTAAATGCTACAATATTGCTCCCTAATTGTATAACACAGCGTTTACAGAACAGACAGGGCAAGTATAGAATCTTTTTATCCAAATTATAAATGTCATGATAATGTTTAAATATTTAACAAACCGCACCCTTGTTATTCAATACATAAACACAAATATTTATTTACAAGGAGCAGGAATCTAGTAGAGAGGAAAAGGGAAGCTTATAGGAGAGGACATGAAACTAGTGGGAAAGACAAGAAAGGGCAAAAATTTAGTTGATGAGGTGGGAGTAAAGGACCGGAAACTAATAGTCTGAAGTGAGAAGTTATTAGTCTGCAGTCTGCAGTCTGCAGTCTGCAGTCTGAAGTCTGCAGTCTGCAGTCTGCAGTCTGTAGTAGTCTGTAGTCTGTAGTCTGTAGTCTGTAGTCTGTAGTCTGTAGTCTGTAGTCTGTAGTCTGTAGTCTGTAGTCTGTAGTAGTATGTAGTATGTAGTCTGTAGTCTGTAGTCTGTAGTCTGTAGTCTGTAGTCTGTAGTAGTATGTAGTCTGTAGTCTGTAGTAGTATGTAGTATGTAGTCTGTAGTAGCATGTACTAAATGTACCTTGCAAATTAGATGTTTAAAACCTTTCAGCATAATTTCTGAAGATAAACTACAAGTTCAAAAATTATAGATAAACAGCTGGGTTAACTGTTAAGTGCTTTTAGTGTTTTTTAAATGCTTACTTTTTACATGCTGGAACTGATTTATTGTTGCTATTGCCTAATGAATGCTACATTTTTAATTTGTAAAATTAGTGTTTAATCCTTTTTAAAGGTATTTTTGTCGTAAACTATACAAAATACTAAACAAAAATCAATTCTTGAAAATCTAAAGTCTCTTTTTTTCGAACATGCAAAATGACAAAAATTAATTCCTGAACGATTTTTTCAATGCGTTTGATACGAAAGATAAGCGTTTTTGTGTCACTGATTTAGGCTTATATTTGGAAGATGTGCCTTCGCTGAAAATTATGATATTAACTTTAAAAATTTTAAAAAGGAGAGTACACTACAGAGTACATTGCAAACATTGATATTCCGAGGGACTGTATCTAAATGTACAGGGTGTCCCACATCATATTAGATCTAAATGTACAGGGTGTCCCACATCATATTAGATCGTTTATAGCTTTAAATTGCAATTTTAGGGATTAATCAGAACGTTTTAAAAAAATTAAAACTTTTGACAAATTGTTAACGGCTAATATAAAAATCTGAATGCAGAAAATACTAGCTTTTCCTTGTAAGACATGCGTATTTTGGTGTTAAAGCTTGGAGATAATCTAATATATAGAACGCTCTGTGTAGTGTGTATCTTAATTATTAATAGAACTTATTTATAGAAAAGTTAAAGGGAAAAACAAAGTAAGAACAACGGGAAAAAAGTTTAAGGAGCGATTGGAAAGGGGGAAATGCATTGAGGGGGAAGGAGGAAAGGGTAATGAAGATAAGGGGAAAAGAAGAGAGGGAAAAAAGGAGATAGGAGGAAGTAGAGAAGGGGGGTTAGGAAAATTGCGCAGATAAGATGGAAAAGGAAATGGGAAAATGATAATGAAAGTGGAAAAAGGAAAGAGGGAAGAAGAGAAGGAAAAGGGGGGATGATCACAAAGAGTCCAGTTCCTGCCATTTCCAAAATGTGGTCTGCTTTCAAAAAAACAGGAGACATGAGTTTATTCAAATTCGAAAATGTTCGTTTTATTAAAAAATAAAATCTAACCAATTTCTGTATAACTCGTGTAATGTGGAAAGCACAAAAAAAAGACTAGGGCTATTTTGTGATTATCGTTTCATCAATCATATTTATAAAATTATAAAAATTATATAAATTATAAATGATAAATGATAGATTGTAGAGGATAAATTATAAATTATAAATTATAATTATTATCGCCTTATTTTGACCAAAATTACCGACCTATGATTCCCCCAACAGAGGGAGGTTAAGTTTCTTAAAAACCCTTGGGAAAAAATTCGCACATTTTCATCTAAAAAGACGATAAAATTGTGTACAACTACTTTGTCGGGAAATTAAACCATGGGTTTCCTCGACAAATTTTGTCTACAAAACATCCCTCGCTGCGGTCTGGACGTTTTTTAGGCAAAATTGGTCTTGGGAATCCTTGATATAGTAAAATTCCCTCAACTTCCTTGTAAAGTAGCTGTAAAAAATTTATCAAAGATGGTCAATAAATTTACTTGATATTTTCAGGGTTACCCACAGATAATGAATAAATGTTTTAGTTAAATACAAAAAGGTCTTTTGAACAGCTGTTAACAATTACAGACATACACTAATCAATTCCGAAGGTTCATTCAAGTTAAAGGGACTGTACAAGTAATTACAAAAGACTTTCTAATGTCAGTGCAAACTATACAGACGGAGAGGGTCAATTTAAGAGACTAATATTAAGTCGTGCAATATGGTACGAATTTATGAAATAATTTTGATTTTGATTTTCCACATAAGTATGATAAAAACCAATTTATCAAAATTCAAAACAGTTTTTTTTTATCTCTTAATATCTCTTCCATGCGGAGAGCTATAATCGAAAACAAACGATTTCAATTTTACATATGATTTACATGTTTAACGTGATAATAGAATAGCATACCTGATTCTGTGGTTTCTTTTAAAGCTTTTTCTGATTAACATTTCATTATTTTCCTTTCTGTTTTCTTCTTTAAAGTGACTTGTCTATACCGGTTGCTAATAAGCATGAATAAGTAAGAATAAGTCGTCTTAAGCCACAGACTACACAGACGTTGCTCATACACTCTACCTGGATAGGCTGAGCAGGCCTATAGTGTCCCGGCACGCCATGCTACGGTTCCATGTAATGTTTTTTGACCGACATCTGACGGCCACTTGTTGCATTCAGGGGTTAAGTTTTACAACTTTTAAAGAAATACTCCAATTTTAATCATAAAACAAAACGTTTATAAATATATTGTAGATTTTTAAAGATTTTGCATTTCCTATTCAAAGGATCCTTAAATATTCCTGAATACATTGGTCGTGTACAGTACTTGTGCACAATAGAACATGCGCTGCGCTGTGGAATTGGAAAATATAGCATATATATTATAGGTGTTAATCGATCTCTGTAACTCTCTTATCTATGTCTTAAGCTAACTGAATAAATATATATCTAACCTAGTATTTATACAAGATGCAGTAAACAATAATCAAAACAACAACATATGGAGTATGCTGTGTACAGCATTCCAGGAATCCAACAGGGGCGCGTATTTCTCCTGCAGAAAAAATGGGCGGAAATTATCAGAATTCAACGCTTTAAGTGGAGAGTCACTTGAAATTACAAGTACAGTCCCTTCAAGTGCGGGGTTACCCTCAAAGAATGAGACTTTTTTCATTTATTATTTTGTCTATGATTTATGATTTGCTGGAGCTGCAAACTTTTCGTTACATAATTTACTATTGTTACGATTACTTTTTTATAGAGAAAGATCATCTAGTCTGAGATTAGACAGTTTTAGAGCTCCTAAAGCTAGATTCACCGACAAAGGGTCAAACGACCCAGGGTCAAACGACACAGGGTCAAACGACAAAGAGTCAAAAAATGCGACAAAAGGGCAATTTTT